TCTTCACAACACCTGAGTAGTACGCCTTGTTGATAACCCTCTTTTCGATCCAATAGCCCTCTTCACAACACCTGAATAGTACGCCCTGTTCGATAACCTCTTTCTGATCTAATAGGCCCCTCTTCACAAACACCTGAGTAGTACGCCCTGTTGATAACCCTCTTTCCGATCTAATAGGCCCCTCTTCACAAACACCTGAGTAGTACGCCTTGTTGATAACCCTCTTTCCGATCTAATAGGCACCGCTTCATAAACACCTACTGAGTATTAAGCCCAGTGAATTTCTAATAGGTCCCTCCTCATATGAGTAATAAGCCCAGTTAATCACTCTTTTTCCAATCTAATAGGCCCCCCTTAACAGCATCTGGGAGGGCAGCGGCAACGTGATTTGCTTGGATGTCATGCGCGCTATGACCAAGGAACCCGACACACACCACATCCTCTTTAAAGAGTTGGAGAAGGCTAAGGGTATGGACGCCCGCTTTGACACCTTCCTAGGCGAAGTGCGTAAGCTGACCAAAAACCTCACGGACCAGCGACATATGCGAAGGTAAGATGTCAAGGTGTGATACGAATAGCATTTAACAGGTATGTGCCGTTTGTATTGTCTGGTGTGTTGTTTGGCCACAGGGTGCGCTACGAACGGGAGCGCGACTATGAACTGGTACAGGCCAAAAGAATGGAGATGTTTACTTGTAGCAGGTGTGTTGTAAAATGGGTGACTAAGCTGCCCTGTGGACTCTCATGTGGATAACACGAGCGCAGAGTGCACGTGATTGCACAAGTATAAACCACGTTGGTCTTTGGCGTGGGATTACATCCCTGAACGTTATATCACTAGTCCGGCTGCTAGTCCGTACTACGCTTCTAGCGCTGGTCCGTACTACGCTTCTAGCACACGGCACTCTCTGTGCGGCTCATATCCACATCGTTTTCGTTACGGTTTGTGGCTGTGGCCTTGTCATTGCGTCTTTCGTTTGTACCGTTTCGCCAGCCACACGTATAGTGCGAGTGTATAAATTTAACGTAGCATATGCTAGCATCTGTGCATCTGAGTTCTCTCATTCGCACTCACGCCGGTGCCCCCTCCGCAGAGGTGGTATGCACGCCTCCATTCTGATCACCATTGCACACTTATTCGTTTGTATCCAGAGTTGTGGACACACTAGCTATCGCGCTTCAGGGCTCCCTGCTATTGCGGCATGCACCCACACACGTGGCAGAGGCTTTCTGTGTGTCTCGATTGGGCGCTAATGGTATGGGCAGGCACAATTTCGGTACTTTGGATCTGACGCATAGTGAGCTACAGGCCTTGGTGGACCGGGCAATGCCTGTACCAGCGGAGCTCGAATATGACTCGAAGTTTTGACTCGATTGATCTCGTTAGATTCGATCTGAAGGGCGATGTTTTCCCTATCTACCCAGGGGCCAGCAAAAGATTTGTATTATGTGCAGTATAATAGCAGTTAATATGATTCTATAAGGTAATATTCTGAACTTAAAAATACTCAGCAGAGGCTTTGTATTATGTACATAGCAGTTACTTTCGATTTATTAATACGAGTCTAAAGAAAAGATTATGTATTGATATGAGACTAAGGTAGAGATTCGGAGGTTAAAAAACTCAAATAGCGTTGTATCATATACAGTATATATAGTGGTTACTTTTTATTCTTAATTTGAGTCTAAAGGAAAATTTCCGAGCATACAAAACTCAGCAATAGCGTTGTGCCATGTATTTATTTAGTACATACTTTAAAACTAATTTATTAACGAGTCTAAAGGAAAAATTCTGAGCTTACAAAACTCCAGATATCTCGCACGTAAGAGAGTTGTTTACAGTCAAACAACTACATAATAGCGTTACTTTTTAAATCTCCTGCTCAAGAAAGTTGTAAGCGAAGATCGGCTGGTCTTGGCCGGTTTGTCTGCAGGTGCTGGTAAATTGCCAGCAGTCAATATCGTCAACATAGGTTGATCTGTACCACTGTACTCATCATCGTTATTATCGGTTATGTCATGGACATTGATTGGGATGTCCGTACTGTACGAGCAAGCACTCACTTCTTGTGTCATTCTTGTCGGCTGGAAAGTATACGACAAGTAGCAACTTTTAAGCCCGCCTTTTGAGCACTGGTCTTTAGACAGTTTGGTGTGCAGAATATCTAACGGGGGTCCGGTGGGGTGGCTGCTAAGAGTCGGATTACTTAAACATATCGCGAAATCCTGAAGCGGCATTGCACTGATAGTGGGGGTTGTATGTTTCATTCTTTCAATTTTTGTGATGGGATATGAATTGTGAACTGCAAACATTTGTGACGAGCAATCGACTGAAGAAATGTTCAGGGAGGATGCTGTATTAGTATCCTTTTAGGTCTCTCTTGGTATCCACTCTACGTGTAAGAAGCTTCCAAAGCTTCCAGCAACTCAGAAATGTCTTTTTTTAAATAAGAAAATGATAGAAGTCGATGTTCGTTCCATTATTTACTCGCAAGAGAGACTCATGAACAGTATATACAGGAGTAAAACAAATAAAACAAATACAATAATATTTATATACTGTATTTACATACAGATGTCAGAGCCTTAGGGCTCAGGCCCTCAGCCCTCAGAGGACAGAGGGCGGTTGTTTTATTTATTATTATTTTAAAAACCCAAAAGCATAAATAATTGTCACTATGATTGTGTTTATTTACTACTGCTTCATTTGTGCGTTTAACGCTTTCAAGTTTCAGATCCCTCTGTCGCGTCACTTGAGACAGGCTTAGTTTGATTGACCCCACCTGGCGCTATGGCGGCTGGCGCTAGATATGTAAATTGGTTTGGTTTGGTTTCTGTATTTCAAAAACTGGTCTTATATACTCTAATATGGGAGTTATGGCGGCTGACGGCTGGCGCTATGCAGTTTATTTGAAAAATGTGTATTTTATTACTTTTTGCACATGATCCATTGATCCTGTTAGTACCTGTACAGTTTTGAAATGTGTGCCATTTATCCAATTCTTGATCGTTTTGGCCGAAATTCAAGTAATTACATCGTAAATAAGTACCTAAATTAGATGAATAGGGATAATATTATTTATTTCAAAAATGGCAAGTATGTATGATACAATGTATGAACATATGGTATGGCTCTCATAGTCGCTGTAGTGGTTCAGGAAAGATTGATGGGAAGAAGTGGTCAGTAAATTCCCGTTTGAAGTTTGGGCCAGGTGAGTCGACAATGGAAGATATGTGCTGAGTCAATTCGGGCTGGTGTTGACAAAACACTGTTACTATCGAATGTTCCATATATTCGCTTGCTGACCTACTAAGTAGAGTACCCTCCTCTGTGGTACGGATCGGGTCTGCGCCGTGTAGTGCCGCGGAATGGGTTAGTGCAGAGTACGAAATACCGAGAAGGACCAGGTTATCCGTCATAATCCGGTCGAGAAGCGAGGATGGGGGTAAGCCAATGCCGCACCAGACCACGGATGAATTCGGTGTGTGTTGGCTGGCCTGGATCGGAAGTATCATAGTCGGAACCAACAAGCGCGATGATTTGGTCTGAACCGATATTTGGAAGTAGTACTTCAACAGCGTGATTAGCCGGGGCATGGGGAGGATGAGAAATATTGTTTGATTTCAGAAGGCAAATACATCCTAAAATCCGATCAGTATATATTTCGAAATTTGTTGGGTCGGAAACTCGGAACTTCGGCAGTATTTAAAATTAAAAAAATGTAAATATTTTTGTGTAGAAGTATTGTACACTTCTTGTACTCTGTAGTCTGTACACTGTACAGTATCCTGTACTTTTTTATATAAAACAAAACCAAAAACCAATTTAGACTTGTCCACTTGAATTATTATCTGTTTATTTTTTTAAATATATAAAAAACAAATATGATTGTTTGGGGCCCTCGGGCCTAGGGAACTTCGGCCTCTTCTTGAGTCGTAGACATAAAATGTACGATTCTTCTCTCTCGCGCGTAGTAGCGAGAATGATAAATATTTACAACTCCTAATTCAACAGCAGACTTCTTGAGTTCTTGTTGTGAGTTTAGAGTTATAACTCTTTAAGTGTGAGAGTTCAATTCAAAGAGTTGTCAGTTGTTGACTCTTTTAGTAATCCTGGAATCCTGGTCCTGGACGTGTATTTAAAAAAAAACATAAGGCTATAAGGCTGCTAGTTTGCAAGGCTGTAGCCTTAGCTCATTACGTTATGGGGGTACGAGATAGAAGCTGAACGTAAACGCATATTTATTCATTTTGAAACATTATAACGGCTATAATTTGATTTGTAAGGCCCACCAAAGTTGTTTAAATAGGACTGGTTCGTATATTGGAAACAGTACACACTTCAATTTTTAGACCCGAAAATTGCACCCAGTATCATAGAAAAGACTGGATATGGAATAAAAGTTGAACGTAAACGTATATATATTTAATTTATAAAAGTTTTAATGGTAAACCGCTTGAGGTTAGGAGCCTGGAGCCTGTAGGTTGTATAGCCTTGTAGGTCTGTCAGACTGTGTCCGTGAATACATTCAACAATGTTATGTATTTACCCACAATTCCACATTTCCACACACCCTTCAAACAAACCTCCAACCGTTTTCCATTAAAACCTTTATAAATCGAATAAATATACGGTTACGGTCCTTTGTATGATCATAGGTGCACTTTTCGGGTCTAAACATTCAAATATGTACGGATTCTATGATACAAATTAGTCCTATAAGAAGAATTTAGGTAGGCTCTTCTGGTCACCTATATCCGTGATAACGTTTTAAAATTGAATATAGATGCGTTTACGTTCAACTTCTATCCCTAATAACGTATTGATCTTAACCTTCAAATCAATAGGTTTGCGAGTCTACGTACAGTCGTAGACTACAACGTCCTGTATTCGCCATTCTGCAATCTGCATTCTGCACACGAAGAATAACAGACGGGCTCTAGTTTGTTTTTATTACATAGTTGGACTAATTTTGAACTTTCTACTGTCAATACATAACAGTTACTCTCAAAATTGGTCCATGTATTTTAGTCCAGATCCAAACAAAATAGGTTTTTGGAATTGGCTTCTCTGTCTATGTAGCTACATAGCTAAAAACGGGAAACCAGTTTTAAAACTCAGCGTTATTTAACGTAAAACGTACGACGTTTTCCGCATAATGAGCTCGTATTGAAGTCTGCCGTGACACTGTGACAGGGCTGACTGCTGAGCCTGAGAGCCCGAGTGCATTTCTGCATACTGCTCTCACTTCTCAAGTTCTCAACAAACACCGCAGCGTCTCAGGCTCTCAGCCACTTAAGCTCTCGAGTCTCGAGTCTCGAGTCTCGACTCCCTCGACTCCCTCGAGAGTCGTGAGTCGGGACTCGGGAGTCGGGACTACTCTGCAAACCTCAATATATCAAGTTTTTCAAAAAGCATTTCAAATATAAAGTTGAACGTTCTGTGTATACTTTTTGACGAAAACATTGCAACGTTTTATGCTAACTTAATGGCCTGAAAATTTGCGCTAATTAGACCTGAACAGATGCACCTATTTCTATATTTTGGTCACAACATACAACACTGACCAATGAAAAGCGGTCGGCAGTTGACACAAATCATGACGTTATGACAAACTTGACGTGAGCATTAGCCACTTAGCTGTTTGGCGGGTCACTTGCTGTTGAATGCTTGTCTATTTTACACAAATGTTTATTGACTCATGACTGTGTTTTATGTAAGTATTGTAGTTCGTACACCCACATTAGCCCCGCTCCTTGCATTTTTAGCTCTCATCAATGAGGGAGAAGTCGTATCGGTGGTCCGAAATTATCGTCGAGAACAATTGAGACGATCGATAGTCTTCAATCAAAGGCCCTAATGCAATAGTGTACAATGCTATTAAACATGATTTCTACTGTTCAACTATAAATATATATATATATATATATATTATTGTACAAACACATTGTATGTTGTTATAATACTATAGTGTTATTATTGGCTATTGCTTCGGAAGATCGACCACTACATACTTGCCATTTTTGAAATAAATAATATTATCCCTACTGGCGAGATTACGATCAGATTAACGGCTAAAGAACTAATACTAGTTTCCCTATCGATACGTCTTCAAAGTCTAAACTCTAAAGCCTAATCAAAGTCTAAACTCTAAAAGACTGAAAAATAAAGTCTTAACTAAAGTCTAATCAAAGTCTAAATTAATCAAAGTCTAAACTCGACCCTAAAGTCTAATAAAAGTTATGCGCACCAGCCACCAGGGAAATTTCTAAATACTTTCTTTTTCAGCAACTGTGACAGACATATAGATTGGCGGGCTGATGTGGCGACCTAAAACAGGTCCGACCATCTGACCTGGAGAATATCCCCCAAATATATTTTCCGGGCCGTTATTTGGATATAAAGGTTTAACGTATAACGTATACTTTGTATTAAAATATAAACGTTTCAACGTAAAACGTAATGCGACTGAGCGACACAGATTTTATAATACCAGAAATGATTTTGTTATTTTAAAACAAAATGTTTTTGTTATGACTTTGTTTTTTTTAAATATTAAAACAAAAAAACATCTCAAAAGGTCAAAGTGCATAAAGTGCATAAAGGCCACAGAACTCAGAACTTGGAAATCGGAACTACAGAATTCGTTTTTATTATATAGATAATATTTTTATTTGTTTTACTCAAACTAGTTTTTATCTCCCAAATTGGAAAGTGCAGTGTTCTGTTTTTAAAAAACAAATACTTCTGTATACGAAACTCAGTACTGTAGTCAGTATGAATCGTTTTTTTTCTACATTTGTTTAATTGTTTTACAAATATAGACATAAAAACAATATTCTTTTTTTTAAATATGGCGAACGTCATTACGTCACAGCCCTCTAAATTATACAGTACATATTTATGTATAAAGGCGATAAAAATTGTGTTTTTGTGTTTGTTTGTTTTTTAAATCTGAGCCACCGTACATATTTATGTATAAAGGCGATAAAAATTGTGTTTTTGTGTTTGTTTGTTTTTTAAATCTGAGCCACCGAAAGTATGTACTGGCAATTAGCAAATCGGCGGATTTTGTATATATATAAAGTATTTAAAAGCCAATTTAGGAAAACCCCCAAAAAAAATATTATGGCCATTCTTCACAGATTTAAAGAAAGCTGAGTGGTCAGTCTTCACATCACTCATTTTTCAGCCAGTAATTTTAGATAACAGGGGAACCAAGAACAGAATCAAGTACCTCAGAGCTTCCGAGCAAACCCGTAATATGCATAACCAGTAGAAAACAGTATCGACTAAGCTCTCTAGAGCAGTTGTTTG